CTAATCACTTTTAAATGCAACTATCGTCATGGAGAGTGTTCTATCATTCAGTTGTAATTCAACTTATTTAAGTTAATAATATCAACTTCTGAATTAAACAACAAAATTAAAGATAATACGTTTATTACTCACAAGTAGAAACACATCTGAGGGATGAATGTCCCTGTACCAATATTTATACCTTATGCTTTTGATAAAGCCTAGTCACTATCAGTGAACTATGGCTGTTTGCATAAATACTGTGGGAAAGTCTATTTAGACAAATGTTAATATTGTTGAAATACTTATCTACCAAATAATATACGAAATACTTATATCTAACACATGCTTAATCAAAAAAAAACATACATAAAATATTAAAGAGATTAATAAATAATTATTTAGAAAATTATTTAGCTTTTGTTATTATAAGGAGCAAACAACCGACATCCACCATTACGATTTAAATTTGCCTGGACAGTGGAAGATAGGCGAAGTTCGATGTTCAGTTCCTTCCAGAATTGATTTGTTGGTCCGAAATTCGATCAAAAATATTTTCTCCAACCCCACATATCTAACTCGACAATCTTTCTATTCTCGACTTCCGATGAGGTTCTCGGCGACATACTGGAATATGGATAAGATCAAAGATCTGATGAACCAGATATTTGAGGCGTTGGTAATGTAACGATTACCTCAAATCTTCTTCATCTTCTTTATCGCAGATCTGGTAACCGTCATACGTTGTTTCTTTTAATCAACGCATCCTCTGTAATTTCAAATGAAGACTCCAACATAGATGTACCTGTATGATGGGATCACCTCAATTTCTGTTACTTCTGGCACGTTATTACACGGGGTGTTACAGAAATAAGTACCGAGCTTTGGAGGGTGTAAACTAGATGCAATAAACAATCGCACAGTGCGTTCAACAGCGTGGTTAAGGGCATTTTTTTTAAGAAGATCACAATAATTTAAAATGCGAAGCCGGTCCTGTAAGTGAGTTGGCAACACAGAGGTATAATATGATAAAAACTTTGTCGCTACATAGATGGAGAATTGCCGTTTATCTAACGTCTATTTGTAAGATAAACATAAACAACTTAGTACTATGCATGATGTTTAGACTAAATAAATTTAAATAAGTACCCTATAGGCAGCACTACGTAAATTTATAAACACAAAGAAGAAAAAAATGTAAGTTACGTAAACATTTGTCGGAAAATAAGCATCATCTAGATAATTGTAAGGTTATTAAGGAAAATTTGTAGACTTACCAAAAAGTCAAATAAGTCTTCAAAAGTTTCACACCCTCACATTTAGGAAATCGCGAAGGATGTACGACATGCAAATCTGTGTTGCACTAAAAGTAATTATTGTGAAAATTCAAAATTCTGTCCCGCGTGAAGCAAATTTGTTTGTAAAATAACACCCTATGGAAAAAACTAGGCTCTGCAGCACTTTTCTGTCGAAACCATTAATGAAAATTAACTCGCGGCTGAAAATTAGTTTCAACTAAGTTTCGTTATAAATGATAACAATGCAGNAAGCAAATTTGTTTGTAAAATAACACCCTATGGAAAAAACTAGGCTCTGCAGCACTTTTCTGTCGAAACCATTAATGAAAATTAACTCGCGGCTGAAAATTAGTTTCAACTAAGTTTCGTTATAAATGATAACAATGCAGCAACTGCTCTTTTAAAATTTGTCACACTATCACATGAGAGCAGCCAACGTTCCCTGCTATTTCACGTGTACTATTTTGAAGATTATCTTCTTATTTGATGTTGAGGATCTCGTCCCTGCAGCGTCGATATGCTTCAAATCCGAAAATACGTATCATGTCACATTATTCTAACAACAACTGTTCTATAGTGACTGACCTACACTAATATTTATTTTTTTATTTATTATTAATACTTGTGAGGCTCATGGAGCCTATCACAAGGAGATATAAGTACACATATTATATAAGCTCTTTTGATAAAGCGTAATCAACTAATTGTCAACATTACAAAACACACATTGTGTCAGTTTTAAAGTACACCGTTAGCACTAGTGATGGGTCGTTATTCCGTTAACGTTATTTTGGAACGTTATTTTGTTGCAACGTTACGGAACGTTACTATGTGTCGTATAACTCGTTACTGAGGAACGTAAAGTGGCAAGCGCTGTAACACAACAGAACAGATGAACGGAACGGATCGACTATCGCGTTCGGATCCGCGGCGACCGCGACGTCGCGCCGGGTCGGGTAACGCGCTGTTCGCAACGGCAAGGGCGCAATACGCAACAGGAACAGATTGATGAGGGAGGCCGACCGACCGACCACTAGTCTCATGAGTCTCATGAGTGGGGAGAATAAAGAATATGTGATGTGACAAAGTGAAATATTTTTAATAATAAAAAAATTATAATGATGATGTTAATATATTACTAATTATATAGGACACTATTATTTTATTTATGAACTGAAACTGACTTGTATGTAATGAAAATAAAAATTAACTTTTCAACAAATAACAAATGAAACACCCAAAAGTTTTTTTTTT